GTTTGGGATTTGTGTGGATTAACCAGCAGATTTGCCCCTGTGTTATAAAGTCCTAAATCAATCCTCATAGGGCTTAGTTTCCAGACCCTTCACCATTTTAGTTGCCCTCCTTTGGACACGCTCCAGTTTTTCAACATCCTTTTTGAATTGTGGTGCCCAGAACTGGACACAGTATTCCAGGTGAGGCCTGACCAAAGCAGAATAGAGTGGCACTATTACTTCTCTTGATCTAGACACTATACTTCTACTGATGCAGCCTAAAATTGCATTGGCCTTTTTAGCTGCTGCATCGCACTGTTGACTCATGTTCAACTTGTGATCCACCTGGACTCCTAGATTCCTTTCACACATAGTCTCATTCAGCCAGGTGTTCTGCATCGTATATCTGTGCTTTTCATTTTTCTGTCCTATGTACAGTACCTTACATTTATCCTGTGGAATCCTGAGGCTTGTCCTTTGTAGAGGTATTCAGCCTGGTATCGGTACCAGGTGCGGACTGCTCATCCTCCCTGCAGATCCAGAAGCCCCAACAGCAAGCCAGGTTTTTCTGTCAGTGCAGACACAGCCTAGAGCAGGGGTCGGCAATATTCTTCTATCTTGGGCCAGTCGCTGGTCCCCAGGTCTTCCGCCGGGCCGGGGGGCCACTGCTGCCACCTGCGCATCGCGGCTGCTGAGCCCGCGCGCGCATCGCACCCGCCATTTTGTTTGCCAAAATGGCGTCCGCAACTTGTTTGTGCATGCGGCCGCGGCTGCCATTTTGGAAAACAAAATGGCAGGCGCAATGTGTGCGCGGGCTCAGCAGCCGCAATGTGCACGCGGCTGGCAGTGGTGGTGGGGGTTGGTGGGGGCCAGCGGGCTGGATGCGGCCCGCGGGCTGTAGGTTGCCGACCCCTGGCCTAGAGCTTTATAAATATTTTATTTATTTTTATTTATTTATAACTCTTTTGTGCAAATTATGTTCCTAGTTGACTTTATAAAAATTCCTTCCAGCAAACTGACTTTGGGCAACAGCAGCAGTGGCAAGGCGAGCTCTGACCTCATAGCCATCCTACTCTCCTTTATAAAGAAAATATATGAGAAGTGGAATATTCTTTCACTAAAATGCTAAAGGGACAAAGTTCTACATGAACTGATGAAATGTTAAATAATACGATGTGTGGTGTCATGTGCCTTCAAGTTGAACCTTTCATGGGATTTTCTTGGGAAGATTAGTTCAGAGAGCTTTGCTTTTGCTTTCCTCTGAGGCTGAGAGGGTGTGACTCACCCAAGGCCACCCAGAGGGTTTCCATGGCTGAGTGGGAATTAGAACCCTGGTCTCCAAAGTCATAATCCAATACTCAAACTACTATACCACACTGGCTCTTTAACAATAAGATTTGTTGTGTGCCTTGAAGTTATTTCTGATTTAGGGCACCCCTAAGACAAATCTATCACAGGGTTTTCTTGGGAGGATTTGTTCAGAGGAGATTTGCCATTGCCTTCCTCTGAGGCTGAAAGTGTGTGTCTTGCCCAAGGTCACCCAGTGGGTTTTATGGCTGAGCTGGGATCGAATCCTGGTCTCCAGAGTTGTAGACCAAAACTCAAACCACTATGCCGCATGAGTGAGGTATAAATGAAAAGCATACAGGAGCAATCTTTGGCCCACAGAAAACATGACCTACAGCCATTTGCTGAATCACCTTCACAACCCCATTCATTTCTTTCTGCACCTATTATTGCCTCTCACTTTGAACATGGAAATAGATAGTTGTAGAAATTTAATTCACAAAATATGCACGGGATGCAACAAGTCCCATGCTTTTCTAATTGTCTGGATTTTGATTGGGGTTTCATTACCAAAGTAGAACAACTCTACTTGAATTATGCCTCCTTGAGTCCCATTTTGGAAGAAAGGCAGGATATATAACCCATAAATAAATTAAAAAAAAATTAAATCTAATGATGTTCATGATTTACATATTTATTTGTGAAGTGTCCTGGAGCTTGATTTAAATCTAATCTAATCTATCTGATCTATTCTGACTATGGAGGAAATATCCCTGTTCCAATATAACTGTTGAAGAGCAAGTTTAATGGCAATATCCAGCATTCCCTTTGTGGATCTAATTTCTGGAAAGACAAGCTTCCACGACGTATAACATGAGCTCACCTCTTGACCCTGCAAGTTGTCATTTGGCCCTTAAAACTCTTAGAAATAGAAATACCATTGACAAAAGGTGAGCTGTTCTTAACCTCATTGTGACACATCCTAGCTGGGGTCCTATGTATTTTCCTCCTCATTATGAAAATTTTATTTTATTAGAGGAAATAACTGTCCCTATTGGCTTATGACCTATCATATTTTGGCATAAAATAAGAGTGCTCACTTGTACCTTTACTGTGACTGTCAACACATGGAGCAGCTCTGTAAGTGATTTCTTTTCCTCACAAAAATATTGCAGGAGGTGAACATTTGGGGGGACATTATGATGACTATGATTTTTGCTGTTAAGTTGTTATCTAGCATCCTGTTAGTGTCATGCACAGAACTTTTGTGGTCATTGCAAAGGGAAAAATTCATTACGTCACTCATGCAATGACCCAAACCCTTGAAGAATTCACTCAACCTCCTACTGCAGGCCTTCCTCCATGGTCATTTAGTGGCCAATAGAGAGTTTGGCTGTTGGGGAAACATCCAACTATGTCTGTATAGCAAGGTACACCACAGCATCTTTGGAGACCTCTTTGGGATCCCAAAAGATGTCAAGTCCCAAAGGATGATATCAAAATTAGGAGTCTACTATTGAGACATAAAATTCAAAGACATAGCCATGTTAGTCTGGAAAATCAGTATGTAAAAGGATCTTGCAGCACCTTTGGGGTTGCAGACTGCCAGAAATAGTGCAAATTGAGTCCACTTTTAGGGTTAGGGTTAGTGCTAGGGAATCATGGGAATTGTTTTTGTTTTGTTTTTTTTCTGAGACATTGAGTCTTCTCTGTCAGAGAGCTCTGGTGCCACAATAAACTACAGTTCCCATGATTCCCTAACCCTAACCCTAACCCTAACCCTAACCCTAAAAGTGGACTCAATTTGCACTATTTCTGGCAGTCTGCAACCGAAAAAGTCAGAAATTGGTAACATGAGTGTTCTTAGATTTAAGCCTACCTCCTCAAGTGTATGTGGTGGAGTGGAAAGCCTAGGGACAGATCTATATAGCAGTCTCAAAGGTGCTGCAAGATCCCTTTCCATATTGGGACATAGGCAGACACTTGTCCATTTGTCCCTGCTCCCCACTGGTCACTAGACAGCCATGGTAGGAAAACCTTGCAAGAGGGAGATCAATCCTGCAAGAAAGGAGCTATATCCTGGTTCCATATGTATCCCAATGCAGGACCTCAGCCAATAAATGTAGATGATGATGATGATGATGATGATGATGATGATGATGATGATGATGATGATGATGGAGGAGGAGAAGAATACACCTCCCCTCCACTTCTGTCAAGTTTATTATCTTCCTAGCAATGGGTTACCTTAGCTTTGGGCACTGTGGAATTTTAGTTTTATGAAAGTTTGTAAGAATGCACTGGTCAAACCTGTGTTGTGTGTGCTAAATGATAGATGATACCTGATTTACAATCATGGGAGTGGATGCCTTCCCTTCTGGCTAAAACTGTGATTATGAAATTATTTCTTCATGTTTTAATAGACTCAGGCTACACATGGTATTAACCCTATGGCCCTATCCTCAGTTGTGTGTGGGAGTGTTTGGAATAGATTTAACTCTATGCTCACAATCTTAATTTTATGTACACATATCACTCTGCACACACTTCCTTCCTATGTGCATAGGAAGTGTGTTCCAATAAATGGTTGCTTCTATTCCCATGTAAACATGAACCCATCAAGGAGAAATGAGACTGAAGAGGTAGGAAAGGTTAAACCCTCCTATGTCTCTCCCCAGGACACTGATACATATTAGGAAGCTTATGCTGACAATTCATAAATGAGGAATGTTGGGGGAAGGCAAGTACAACCATGCGGAGTTCAGCCCTTAAATGTTGACAGGGAGAGAGTTGTTTGAGAATCGTAAGTCAAACAAATAACTACTCCAAGCTCTCACTTTGTCTAAATCTTGTGGGTGGCTATACGGAGGGAGCACATAACACCGGTGCTTAAATCCCTCCACTGGCTGCCGATTAGTTTCCGGGCGCAGTACAAGGTGTTGGTTTTGACCTTTAAAGCCCTACATGGCTTGGGTCCATCTTATCTTAGGGACCACCTTTCCCCGTACGATCCCCCCGTGCCCTGCAGTCCTCTGGGAGGAATCTGTTACAGCCAATAAAAACTAGGCTGTCCCAGACCTCCCAGAGGGCTTTCTCCGCTACCGCTCCCAGACTCTGGAATGGCCTGCCGGATGAGATCCGTCTGATAACCACTCTTGCTGCCTTTAAGAAGGCAGTAAAGACGGATCTCTTCCGGCAGGCCTTCCCAGAATAATATCTGTCCGCTGGGAGGGATAACATGCTCACTTGCGAGTCCGAACTGTGTTTTAATTTAATCTTTGTCGTTTTAATTATTTTCTGGTTTAATCTTGTTTTAAGGGGTGGGAGGAGGGATTATGCTTGGAGGGAATGCTTTTAATTGTACTGTTTTAAAATGCTGTAACCCGCCCCGATTGCCTAGCAGAGGGGCGGGCTATAAATAAAACTTATTATTATTATTATTATTATAGTCAATCTGGAATCTTCAGTAAAGGTATGATGAAGATCCTAAGACACACACACTAGTGCACTGTTGGCATAAAGAAAATGTTAAGTGAAGCAGTCACAATATAGGAGGAGGTGGAGCACTTATAGCTGAAAGGATGCTTTCTCAATACTTTTGATTTGACTTTATGTTGATATATAATTGAGAGCCAGCGTGGTGCAGTGGTTTGGGTGTTGGACTATGACTTTGGAGACCTGGATTCGAATCCCTGCTTGGCCATGAAAAACCCCTGGTTGAAAAGCCCCTGTGATAAGTTTGCCTTAGGGTTGCCATAAGTCAGAAATTACTTGAAGGCACAACACACACAGGCATATAGTTTCTGGGCAGAATACTGTCAACGACATATGACATATGTATATGTGACCTTTTTCTTGTAGCCCTTTGGGTTCTATCCCAACAACCCCCTCCCCTAACAGCAGCTGTCAAACCCCAATGGGGCTGCTGCTCCTACTGCTTATTCATGGGGAGTGGGATCAGTTCAGATGAGGAAAATGCAGCTGCTCTGGGCTCTAAGGGGAAGAAAAAGAAGGGCACACTCCATCTGTGGGTGCACCTCTGTGTCTTCTCCCCTCCAGGTCCAGAGCAGCTGCATCTTCAATGTCTGAACTTCCTCCCCCATCTTTTCCTTCCCCATAGATAAGCAGCAGCAGTCACAGCTGTAGTCAAAAGTCTATTATGGGGAATTTTATTTAGCTCAAACTGAAAGGGAGTCGGCTACAAGGACTCTGCAAGACCGTCTCCCAAGTGTATACCAAGAGGCCAAGGGATCTAAGAATTGATGCAGAGACAGAATTCTCCAATTAAAGTATTATTTATTAAAGGGGAAAATCACACAGCAATTCACATACACACACGCACTCATTCAAGGCTCAGGAGGTCAGGGGTTAGCTTGGAAAAGATGCTGAGGAAAAACTATGGGTGATACTTGCTACAGGTGAGGCTTTCCCTGGGATCCAATTGGGTGATGTAGCGTGAGAGTGTGGTTTGGACGGAGGTGCCAGTAACTAGAGAGCACAGTGATGTAGTGTCCCCATGAACTCCAAACTGGCGACACTGAGGGAAAAAATCCAGGGGTTTTTAAGGGGTAAAACTAGCTGCAGGGCAAAGATGTGAGATTGCATGGGTGGGGAAATCCAGTCTGGTAATATTCAAGGTGAATGGGATAGGATTAACTTGTTAGCTGGCCCATTAGGTGAAACATCTAGGCCATTATCGCCCATTCCTCTGATTATGGAGGTGATGATGGTCCATTTGCAACTCTCACACTATCTGCCTGGCTTTTGGGATGCTTTTTTTTTCTCCAGTCTTCCAAGTGACTTGGACATGATCTGCCTGTCATTGCCTAGGTGGTACTTGGGATCCATTGCAGTGTACATGTGGGGTTATGTGGAATTCATACACACACTAAAATTCAGAAAAATGCACTTTGGCTAGCACAGTCCTCCTAGAGGCTAAACAGCTGCTAAGAAAGGTGGAGGACACAGAACTGTGTGGACAGAACGTTGGTCTCCTCATGGTTTATGTAGGATTCTATCCTACATATTTTGTTCCATTTTGACAAGAGAGTGTCATGACACTTTTCTGTCATATAGTTCCTTAAGTACCTTAGGGGTTATTCAGACGGTAAAAATAATACCGGATGAATCTGGGTTGGATCTCCATTGTTCACACACATCCCAAATACACTCAGGGCCTAAGCAGACTGCAAGAAATAGTGCACATTAAATTGAGGCACTGCCCTGGCTCAGTGCTAGGGAACCATGGGAACTGTAATTTTATTGTGGCACCAGAGCTCTCTGACAGAGAAGGCTCAATGTCCCAGAAAAAAATACAATTCCCATGACTCTCTAGCACTGAGCCAGGGCAGTGCCTCAATTTAATGTGCACTATTTCTGGCAGTCTGCTTAGGCCTTCAGTTAAGTTGGCAGGGAAGGGCTGCCAAAAAACCCCCCACTCAATCTGGGATAATCATTATTGGGTTTTCCCCTTGAGTTTTTTTTTTTTAAAGATCTGCATCACTGGTAGTGTGAATAAACCATGAGAATAGACCCAAATAGATTTGGGATAAAACTTTGCATGCCTTCAGCGTGTTCTGAATGCATTTAATAATAATAATAATAATTTTTATTTGTAGCCCGCCCCTCTGCCAGGCAATCGGGGTGGGTAACAGCAGCATTTAAAACAGAACAACGTTAAAAGCATTCCCTCTCCCCATAATCCCTTCCTCCCCCCACCCCCTCCCCTTAAAATAGAATTAAACCAAGAATTAATTAAAAGCTACATTAATTAAATTAATAAAATTAAAAACAAAACTTTAACAGGAGACAGACAGATGGGGGCCCCTATGTGGGCTGACCGTTATTCCGGGAAAGCCTGCCGAAAAAGATCCGTCTTCACCGCTTTCTTGAAAGCAGTGAGAGTGGTAATAAGACGGATCTCGTCCGGCAGGCCATTCCAGAGTCTGGGAGCGGTTGCGGAAAAGGTCCTCTGGGAGGTCTGGGACAGCCTGGTCTTTATTGGTTGTAACAGATTCCTCCCAGAGGACCGCAGGGCGCGGGGGGGATCATATGGGGAGAGGCGGTCCCTGTCGATTCCATCTTTATTCAAATGCTTACACGTGTGAGCAAGCAAACTTGTAGAGACGCTTATCAATGTGGTTCCATAGTGTAAATAACAAACCTGGAATGCACAAGTGGGATGATTTGCATTGTTGTGCTAAAAAATCCAACGTCTGAATGACCCCTTAGAAAGAAAAGTTACAGTACATCCACCCACTTTGTGATCAGCTAAACAAAAATGGTGACTTATTTCAACGGGTTTTATTAGTTTTAATGAGATTAATGTCAAAGGCTATTCTATAGAACCTGAATTATTTCCAAGTGAAAAATGCCAAAATGTTTGGTTCAGATGAAATGAAACAAATTTGCCTTAATGTTTGGCTTTTGTTGTGAAGTTATTCCTTTCTTCCTTCTAGTATTTTCTCTGTTTTTGCTGCTTGTGGCAGCATTGGTCTCCAGCAGTCATGCTGCTGAAGAAGAGGAATGGATGAAGTGTTTTGATGATCCTGACTATGAGGAGCTGTTGAACATCGCCAGGAATGGTCTAAATAAGACCTCAAAGCCAAAGATTGTTGTGATTGTTGGAGCAGGAATAAGTGGACTCACTGCTGCCAGATTACTGAAAGATGCCGGACATCAGGTAACTAATTATTCTGAACATCCATTAATTGAAAATATTTTTTAAAAAATTAGAAATTCCAAATAGCAAACTTTGATTTTCCATTTTATATAAGGGACACCATTTTGCTATGCCATTATATTTAATGGGACTTGAGTATCCATGGATTTTGTCATCCACTGGGGTTCCTGGAACCAAACCCCAGTGGATAACAAGGACCCCTGTGGATGACAAAGGGTTTTCAGCAGGTTTTACTTGTTAGGCAACCAGATAACAAGCAACACCTGTTGAAATTTTATTTTCCACACAACCATCAAAGGTGCACGAGCCCTCTCTAATTTTTACTCTGGTAATCCTAAGGGCCTCGGCAGACGACTCAATTGAGCCGTCTCCGAGGCCCGGAAGAGGAGGGGCCACCGCACGCGCGGCGGCCCTTCCTCTTCCTGAGGTCGCCCTGAATGCTTCCGGGTCACCGCACGCCGGACGCGTTCAGGGCGACCTCCCTCCACAGCGTCCGGACGCGCTGTGGAGGATAAGTCGCAAAAAGGGCGCCCGCCGCTTTTAGGGCGCTCTTTTTGCGACTTATGAAAGGAGTGCCTTTTTGGCGCTCCTTTCAGGGCCGCTGGGGAGGCGCCGCGGTGGGGCTGCCATAGCCCCGCGGCGCTCCGGACCGGGGCGTCTCCGACGCCCCGGTCTGCATCCCCCCTAAATTTTCTTATTTTTGTCTGTTGTATATATTTATGAGTGATCCTCTACAGTTTTTGTTTGTCTTATTGTTCTGTTGAAATTTCTTTTTACTGTTATTCTAATCTAGTCTATTATTATCATTATTGTAAATAAATATACCACCATATAATTTAGTGTGTGCATTCTTAAGAAGATCCTAGTTTTCCCCATTTTTATCCCCACAACCCTGAGATGTATTAGGCTGAGAAATAGTGAACTTCATGATTAAGTGTAGATTTAAAATTAGGTCTCTGAAGGCTTAGAACTGCACTACAACCACTGCACACACCTATTTTCATTCCATTTCTATTTATTCTGCTTGATTGAGGATGGCAAGGGGTAAATCTGGGATCTTCTGCATACTAAGCAGGTATTTTGCATGGTGATATGGTCTCTTACTAGGTTACATATTTATTGTGTTTTTCCCCTGAGCCTGTTTTACTTCAGAAGCAGCAATTTGGAAGAAAGTGACAGAGTGATGCAAAACAAGCCATAACACTTTTTAAACTTATTTCTAGGTCCATATTCTGGAAGCCAGTGACCGTGCTGGGGGTCGGATAAAGACCTACCGTGAGAAGGACTGGTATGTGGATCTGGGACCTATGCGCCTGCCCAAGGCCCACAGGTAAGCAAGAAAAGGCATGACACCAACTGTGCCAAAAACCCTTCATTCTTTTGCTTTAGCTTCATGCACAATATTCAAAACTGAGCATACCAAAAGACCGAGGAGGTGCTAAACTTTGATATGCCTAAGCGTACATGTAGATATTGATTTGTTTAAGGCATTTGAATACACACATACCCTTCAACTGTCCCAATTTGGCAGCAACTGTTCTGATTAATCCTTTATCATCCCACTTGATATGCTTTTGAAATGTCTTGGTTTCTCTCTCATCCCCCCACTTTCTTCCTTCATCCTCAGCTTACTTTAACTGCTGTAAACAAAGTTCAATTGCTGCAAGCAGGGCCCCATTTTTAGGAAGGATCTAATTAGGGGAATTTATAATTAGTTCAAAATATGTAAGATTGGAGTCCTAACAAAGCCCCACGGGATTGTGTACCATTGTGTATACCAGAGGGCTAAGGGATCCTGCAATGGATGACACTGAGGCAGGCTTCTCCAATTAAAGTCTAAATATTTATTAATAACAAGGGAAAACCACACACACAAATATGGCACACACACACACACTGCACTCTAGAAATAGAGGGTGAAAGCGGAATAGCTTGAGAGGGACCAGACTGAGGGAGTTACTCATTTCCGAAGGCTTCTCTAGGTTCCGCTGTGGAAGTTGACGATAATGATGATGAAGCA